TAAACTCCACAACCCTTCGGATTCTCATATCTGCTTCTGGGGGTTTCTCTCAAAATAGCGGCTGTGGACACTCCCGGATCAGCCGATTTGGAGCAGGGCCGCTGCTCCTCCGGCGGCGAGCGGCGGCGGGAGGCGGCGGAGAGAGACTGCAGGATTTGCCATTTGGGTTTGGAGAGCAGTAGCGATGAGTGTGGAATTGGAATTGAATTGGGATGTTCTTGTAAGAACGATTTGGGTGCTGCCCACAAGCATTGTGCTGAGGCTTGGTTCAAAATCAGAGGAAACAAGTGAGTCTCAAATCCCATTTACAAAATGCCCTTTTAAGAATTAATTAGTTTTGAGGGGTTTTCTTTTAAATCCTTTGTTGGGCAAAGGGTAAGAAAGAAATTAAGGGGAAATTAAGAATAATGTTATGTTGTCTCGGTCAAATTAAAAGGGAATGGAATACAATAGGGAATTGAGGAGTGAAGCATTGGAAAAAACTCTCTCTACCTTCAAATATTATTCTATTGCCTTTAATGGACATAGGAATCTCTTCTACCTTTCTTTTTGAAGCATAAAGCGGAGATTAATTAGACATCTCTACTCTATAGTGTCATGTTTGTTTATGTTCAATGGTATTATAAACTACGAAAATCTGAACATAGCTCCACTAGTTAAAATACCTAATCTCTAATTGAAATGTCGTGAATTTGAATCTTCAGACTCACATGTTGTGTTAAAAAAATAATATTATAATTTATGATTCTTAATGTATGTATATTATATACTTTCTATATAGTGTTAAAAGTGTTAAAGGAGCTCGTAAAAGATGAAATTTATCATAGTTCATGAGTTTAAATTTTTGGGCTAATTAGCAATTTAACACGGTATTATATTAGGAAGTCCTGCATTCAAACTCTTGTAATGTTATTTCATCTCCATTTAATATTGATTATCATCAACTGCGTCTTGTGCAAATTTTCAAACTCACAGGTGAGGGAGGGTGTTAAAGCTAATATATTGATCTGGTCAAAGAGTTCATGAGGAATCTCGAGTTATAAAAGACTTCAAACATTAAGTTCTAAGATAAAGATTGTCTTGCTGAACATAGACTTAAGAACAATTTTTTTTAATTATGTAAATTAGTCTAATTTGAATGTGGGTGGTTTTTGTTAGGACGTGTGAGATATGTCATTCAGTGGTAAGCAATGTCATTGGAGCACATGAAGTTGAACCAGTAGAGCAACTCAGTGAGTCGAACAATGCAACGGTATCGACAACCACCGTTGCGACGTCGGTGACCGGTGGTCCCAATGGTGGCCGGAGCTTTTGGCAAGTCCACCGTGTGCTGAATTTTCTTCTGGCTTGTATGGTATTTGCTTTTGTCATATCTTGGCTCTTCCATTTCAATGTGCCATCATAAGATAAGACTTGGAATATTTGAAGAAATATGTAGAGAAGTTGCCACAATTTGATGCTTTGATGAGATTAGATTGCATTTCTATTTTCTACCTCAAATTTACTAAGCCAAATTTTAAGGACAAGTGTATCATTTTTCATTTTAAAAAATAATTAACTAAGGGATGGATATAATTTTGAAGGAAAAAGAATCATAGCTTAATATTTAATTAAAAAATCGAGCCAATTTTGAAAAAATGGAAAACTTTATTACTTTTTGTATACACAAACGTTTCTTTTCATAAATATAAACTAGTAAAAACCAACAAAGAATCCCCTCTAAATTTCTCAATACTTTCCCTCCAATTTTAGCACTCATTGGAGAAAAAACTTTTATATATATATATATATTCAGCATAAAATTTCATTCAAACATCTCACGAATCCTAATGAAAATCTAATGAAAATGAAAATGAGCATTTTGATGCTCAAGTCGGTAGAGGTTTGAATTTTTTTATTCTCAAATCAAATCGAGATCGGTAAGTGTTTGAGTATTTATAGACCGTCAATGATTAGATGGCAACTGTCCACAATATTCTTTTTGAATATTGCAGAGCATGAAGCAGAGTTGTGGTGAGTGGGTGGTTGGAGCTCCATTTACAGATATCTCCGAACTCTTACTACCAAGGTAATATGCCTGTCTTCTGTTCATACTTATCTGGTGATCGAGTTTGAGCATGTGATATGTGACAAAGAATTTCCTGCCCCTAACATAGATTCTTGGCTCAACCCCTAATTAACAGGGTAAATTATATTTTACCTTTCTTATTTAATCAACTTATTCTAATAAGTATTAGGTATAATATTTTCAACTTTAGTTCATTTTTATTTATATACTTTTAAAATGTCCATGTTGGTCTTTATATTTTATACTTTTGTTTATTTTAATCTTTATACGTTTGAAGCGTTTGTTTTAGTCCCTATATATTTTAAAAGTGACTATTTTAGTCCTTTCATTTTCAATTTTATCTTATATATTTTGATCAAAATTTTAACACAATACTTCAATCACTAAATTTCTTGAAATATAGTCAACATGAGCAAAACCAACAGTTAAAACATCATGCTTATTCAAAAAAAAAACTTAAAATATAGTCATTTATATTAAAGATTTTTCATTATGTATAAAATTTGTGTTAAGATTTTACAAATAGAAATCAAAATAATCCCTTTATAAAAGTATAGAGACTAAAATAGGATTTAAATCTAAATATTATTTCAGATGAGAAAATTGACCATAACAAAAAAAAATGGGTGAAATTAATTGGTCACAAGAAACCACATAAAGGATTAACAAAACCACAACTTTTTCCAGTATTCCTGTTGTGTAGCAAAATGGTCAAGTTGGCAGAACAATCTCCCAAAAACACAACTATATATATAAAAAGCTATATAAAAATACAGGAAATGGCATAAAAACAAATGGAAAAACACCTGTACATTTCCTCCTTTTTCTTTTCTTCTTTCTTTTTTCCCCTCAATTTTTGTTCTTTTTGGCTTCAAATTTAGTGCCCTCTTTTAGAGCTTCTTGGGCATCATCCTCCATCCCAAGGTTGAACAGGCAAGTTGCTTGAAGATACAGAGCAGTTGCCCACTCTGGTGATATTGCCTGGGCCTGCATTGCATCTCCTAGACCTTCTTGCCCCATATCGCTCATCAGGTACGATAAACACCGCCGGGCATACACCGTCGGTGATACCATTGTCCCGCCATCGATAAACTGCTTAAACAAATCATTTCAGTCTTACATTACTAACTAAGATAAGCTCCAAGAAAAATTATTGAATGTAGATGACACAATGTGGTTGTCTCGCAATAACAGTTGGATAGAAGTTTCAGCCAACGGTATAAAGTTACCAGCCAGCCATCAATAATTTCTTGAGCTCGAAGGGTAAGAGATAGTCGAAAATGAGGTTATATAAGAAGCACTCACTTGAGTATAGCAATCAATAGCAGTTGCAAAGTCTCTAGCTTTGAAAGCTGTATCTCCATGCTTCTTGGAATTGAGAGTCTCCTGCATTTGACTGGTCCACAGTTGAAAAGAAAGCTGAAACAGGCCAAAGAAGTTGTATGGAGTTAATGTAAAAGATGAGCAATTGTAAATACAATATCTTAGTTTGCAGCCTTGTTGAACTTGTTATATTCGACTCTCGACAAGAGAGGATAACAACATAGTAGGCAGTAGACTATGGTGTGTGTCGAGTGAGCAATTTTTGTGTTCTATGTGGAAAGTTAAAGTATGTATTGGCAGTAGCCAACCTCATTGGCAATTCCCTCATCATCCTTGTATCCATTCTTGTCCAGCATTTCATGAATGGCGGTGAGATCCTTTCTTAAGCACGCTTCGCCAAACGGTGTCAAAGATAATGGTTGCGTTGGGGATGCATTTTCATGAGGGATGTCCATCAAAACATACGATGGAACCTGCTTGAAAACGATTTGATCAGTAATCCGAGCCTTTCAGGAATTAGTAGACAACCCCAACAAACAATACAATGTGACCATTCAATAACTATCAAATATCCACCATTATTCACTTAAGAAGGAAACAGAAGAGCTTATTTAGAAAGAAACTTGTTCGAGTTTATCAAACACCATAGCCAGGTCGATCGAGGAACCCGTCGGTGTACTCGAATCTATTGCAACTATCGACTAAAATAAGATATTTGAATAGTTATTCACAGTGCAGACCTCTGAATCTTTCTGAAGTGGCATGAGGGCAGTCACGAGAGACTTTGCATTCGGCCTCTCCCGAGCTTCATACTGTAAACAGCGAGAAGCCAACCTCACTAGCTCAGTTCCATCATCATTTGAGAAATGACCCTCCAAGGCAGAATCCATTAGCATCAGGAAGTTCTTCCCACGAATTAGATCCAATGCCTGTATTCATACAAGCACAAGCATGTCCGAAGTTCAACAACTTAAACAGATTCAAACAAAAGAAAAGGAAGGTTTCTAACATTGATTGCAATAAGAAAAAAAATGGCAGATGTTTAATCATGGATTATTTGTACAAAAATCTAACAGGACCAGAAAAAGAGAACTTACATGACTGGGGGGGATATGTTTGCCACTAAGAAGATCTAGCAGCAGGGTACCATAGCTATAAACTACACTTTCTGGTGTCACTCTACCTGCCAAAAACACACATTTGTGCATTCTAATAAGAACCCATCGACAACACACATGCCGGTACTAATCTTCTCTGAGTTTTTCACATTACGGATTTTGCACGTTAAAGACCCTCAGAAAAGATATCAAAAGTACAAACCCGTGTGAAGGACAATATTTTGGTTTATCTAGCAAACTAAAGATGAACATGGAACACGGATTTTTCAATGAAACATGTAATATGGCAATGAACGGAAGTTTTCAGTTCATCAATTTGTAACAGTTTTCACTCAAGTTTTATGCATCGGTAAAAGAACGTCCAGAAGCATTTGTGTTCAGAGTTTAGGCTGTGGTTATTTGTCTGAGCATGATGAAGACCAGAATGACAAGGCAGAGAATGAAAGAAATAATATACCTGTCCTTAAGTACTCTGGAGGGGTAAAAGCCAAATTTGTGCTGTAACTCTTTCCATCCCTGCTGTTCTTCATAAGGCCAAAGCATGAAAGCCTGGGATTACCATCCTGAACCCACACAACAAACCAAAATCACAACACTTGAACATAAACTTGAGCAGAAAAAATAGTAAGTTAAGGAAGAAAGAAAGCACTCACTTGATCAAACAAAATTCGGTAAGCATTTAGATCGTGGTACAATGCTCGTCCCTTACTACTGCAATACTCCAAAGCCTGTGCTAAATACAATGCCACCCTCAACCTCATTGCCCATTTCATCGGATGCGTCTCCCCTAACATCAATATTGTTTAAAAGAAGCAAAAACCATCAACGCACTCAAATTTCTTTCACTTTTTCAGTCAATGTATATTCAGGAAGGAGAAAGATTGTCAAATTAGGCAGTGCTTGGTGAACGTCACGTTCATTTGAGGAAGTGGGATTGTTTCTTAACATGCTTCCACTTCACCAACAAACAGGGTTTTATCTTACAAGAGATTTTGGGTAATGAGTTGAGAGCTAATTAAGATAATAAAGACAACCTTATCCATGGAATTACAATCAACTATTCCCCAAAGAACTTACAGTGAAAGAGATGCTTGGCAAGAGTCTCATTAGGCATAAACTCTGCCACCAGCAACCTCTCCTCTCCTTCGCAGCAACATCCAATCAGATTCGCCAATCGCTCGCTTCTTAGATTTCCCACCGATCTTGATTCTTCCTGAATTAAAACCCAAATCAAATTCAGAGATAAACCGAGCAGAAGAAAAGAAACACTCAGAGATAAACCGAGCAGAAGAAGAAAAACACAGTCAGAGAAATTAGAGGAAGTTAACGGACGAGGAATTGGCGAGAATCGGGCCAGGCGAGTTTGTTGAACCGCTTCACGGCGATCCAGCGGCCATTGTCGAGCTTCCCTTTGTAAACAACATTGGGGGCTTTCTCCCCGTGCTCGGAAACTATGTTCTCCGACGAGAACCCACCGGTGGCCGCCTTCAGCCGCTCGAAGCTGAACTCGCTGAAACTCGGCCACAAGTTCCGGTCGTTCTTGTTCCCATTTTCTGCAAACAATGGCGAAAGGAACCCAGCATTCTTAGTCGTAATCATCAAAACAGAACCTCAAAAAAAAAAAATTAATGGGTTCTACAGAGGTTAACCAGAGAAGGTTTTAAAAACGCAAGGTACCCAGATCAGAGGACTCCAAGACGGAGGGCTTGAGGTGGGAGTGGAACCAGCAAAGGGAGAATTTGGAGCAACGGGCCCCCATTAATGGTGGATTCGATCAAACTGAGAGAGGGAGAAGAGAGGAAATGAAGTTGGAAACTGATCAAATAGCGTTCATTTTCAGAAACAATCCCTCGTTTCCTTCAAATTTCAGTAATGGGGTGAAAAGGGGTGACTGAGTCTCATCTTATGGATCCAAATCTCTGGTTGTTTCACACTCTAATCTCTCTGTATTCCAAATCCTGCTGCTAATATAAACTTTTCACTTTAATTTTTTTTTTCCCTTCTCTCTCTTGCCTTTCATGTGTTTGTCTTTGCAAAAGAGCGTTCGCTTTCTGGATTCAGCTTTCTTTTTCTAATTATTTTCATCATTCCACTCTTTCCCTGTTGCATCTTTCTCACCCCTTTTTCCTTTTCTTTAATTCTTTCCAATTTCCCAGTTCTTATTTTTTGGAAAGGAAAATAAATTTGAGCCATTTGATTGCTCCATTTCGTCAGATTGGCATGGAGAAAGTGGACTGAGAGTTGAATCAAACGGTCAGATTTTTTTAATCACTAGAAAAGTCAAACAAATAAATACCGTAAAGCCCTCTGTTTTGGTACTTGGAATTAGAATTTAATGGAACGGTTGTTGACATAATTGTCTAAATATTATTTTCTTATTAACCCCAAATTAAAAGAAAACCATTTCAATATTTACCTTTAACTTAAGTATATTTAAATTAAATTGCTGGATATATTATTTGATTTAGAATGCACATGTTGGTTTTTCTTAATTTTCTTTCTTCCTTTTTTAAAATTTCAATATAATATTTTTTGTATTAAATATTTTCAATCAAATTCACGTTGTTGGTATACTTTTAAAAATTACAGCATGAAATTTTTTATAAAATGACATTTCCATGAAAATTTTAAGAAGATTATTTTTTTTAATGAGGTGGGTAGTTGTTTTGTTTCAAATTTTTGCTCTTTTTTTTTCTTCGTAATAATATCCATCAATTCATTTGAGGACGAATAAATTATAACAGGTCAAATCATGAACCAAAGAAGCATTAATAAACTATTTAAAATAGGAAATTAAAAAGTAAAATTGTAATGAAATAGGTTCAAATTTTCCAATTATATATTTTTCCYCATGGGTCGAGGCTTCCAAAATAGAACTCTCTCTTCATTAGGAAATCCCATGGACATTTTAGCATAGGATATACATCATTTTATAGCAAACAGTTTGGTGTTCTTTTTCAATTTTCATGTAAAAGTGTTCCAAAATCAGGGAATTTTTTTGTTTGAAGTGGATTTAAAAAGAACATTTTATTTTTTCATGATTTTTTTTTAAAGTAAAATCTGTTTATTTTGACCAAGGTTGTGAAGCATGGCTAGGCAAGCGGACATACTGGTAAGTAGAAGACCTATAAAAAAGAGTCAGTACTATGATGCTCAAGTCATTAGCTGGCCGATCTATATTCGAGAGAGAATATAGTTTCGCGTACCTAAAAATGAGGAGAGAGGTCTCTATTTATACGTGGAGCTTTCAACAAGTCTCCAACATCTCTCCGACAACCCGATAATCGCAGCGTATTGCCGTGGATTGTGTTAGAGTTAAATTCCTGAAGGAGTGTCCTTTGATCGGTACAACTAACAACTAAGGCAGCCARAGTGGAAATTGGTAATCTAGCTCGACTTGTATTTTTAGCGACTAAGGTAAGAAATAGGTCAACTCAACCTCTAGGGCRAGATTGGAGGAGAGAATCCTGTGCTGACTCATCATCATTGTCTTATCAAGAGTTGTCACGTGATGAGTGAGAAATCACCTCCAACCAAATTGTCCTTAAATTCTAGAAAATGTTATTATTTTTAATCGAAAGAATTAAAKGTTTTAACAATATTGTCCATCCTTTTACATCCTTCCTTCTTAACCAAATGATATTGTTTTCGCTAATAAGTAAGAGGTACAAACACGTTATGAAAGGTAATAAATACAATCACATTGACAAATAATTTTGTGAAGGAAATGAGTCGTGTTTATTTGATAGGAAAAAGGGAAAAAAGTGGGCAGAAATAAAAGAAAGTTGTAAAAACATTCTGTTTTAGAAAAATATATAATGGAAATAAGGACAAGTTTTCATACGTTATATGTAGGTCTCATGAAGTCCATGTGAAAGCCTGTCTTTTTCTTCATAGAGAGAGAATGAGAGCAGCATATCATGTGCATTCTGCATACTGCTTCTTCACCTCAATTATATTCTAATATAAATAAATAAGTAAATTACAAATTTAGTTATTAACTCCCTAATAAATCTTTGGACTTTAATAAGTGTCCAGTAAGTTACTAATATCTAATTGATTTGTAGATTTTAAAAATGTTAAATATAATGCGGACATTATTAAACACATAAATTGTGACACAATTAAAATTTTATRGACCTGTTAGATACTTTTAAAGTTCATAAAATTGAAAATTTAYCCGCTTATTAGGTATGTTTGGAAAAGTTGAAGGACTAAATTTGTAATTTAATTAAAAAAATTTCCCTGCATTTGAGATTATGATAACATTGTCCCTTTATATTTTAAAGAGTTTAAAACTAGGTCTATGAAGATTGAAGATTGATTTCGTATCTAAATCCTTCTCGAACCTATTCGAAATTAGCCCTTCATAGTTTGTGGGTCACGATAAAAATTAAAACTTTCGAATGAGTTTAATATAAAAAATTATCGATGTCTCTCGAGTTCGAGCATTTGGCCAGTGCAAGTGTCCTAGGTATAAGGAAGCAGAACTCTAAGGTTGGATTTTTTTTTAGTATAACATGTGGAGATAGAAGATCGAACTCATGACCTCTTGCTTTGACAAACTCTAACGTTCATGCTCGATTATGAGTATAATATCACTTATCTATCATTATAAATATTACGACATGTTTGGAAGTGATTTGGCATAATGGAAATCATTTCTATAGTTGTCAAAATCAGTTCCATGAAAATTGTTTTGAAAAACCGTACCCTAAAATTTTGAATGATTGTTTACGCCGATTTGTACAGAGACCGTGCTAGTGCTAGTTGTTGATAGTGCAGCATGAGGCTGGCGCCAGCCTCAACTCCACGCAACTGTACAAAAAAAATCCTTTRGAACACTTAGCGCCCACAACCTGTTTGTCAAAATGCCCCAGTGAACTTCCACACCCAAAAATGCGCTCTCTTCTTCAATATCCATTCTCTTTCAAATTCCAAACAGGAACTGAAACAATGGGGTTCTCAAATCTTTCGTCCCCATCGTAATAATTAGGCCAAAAATGATTAGTTTTGAAGCAAAAAAGACAATGGAGGCGAAGAGCGAGGGGCGAGCATTTTTTGTCTGAGAGGCGGTGGCGCTATGATTAGCGCCACCCCATTTGGGTGTCCGGCCGACCCCTCGTTACAGTGAAAAGGAAGCTCATTTCAAAGTGGTCAAGACATGCCTCAATCATCATCATTGCATTACACACAAACATCATTAGATTACTCCAAATTATGGTTGATTTCAGCCTTTGATATTAACCCAAAAGAGTAAAGAAAAGCAACTTTGTGGTCCTTGTATTTATAAAACAAAAGATGTTTTGAAATTACAGAAACCAAAATACACAAAAACACCGACATTTTAAGTAAGTTTACACATTTTTTTTCTCTCTAAAAAAGAATTCATCATTGGTCGTCATCAATGGAGAGTCGAGAGGCTTAAATTGCGCAAGCAGTGCTTTTTGTTTCTGGGGCCACAGCCATGCTTTTAGCCTTCCAACCCAGTCTCACACCAACATCATATTTCTTTGTTATATTATATGGGTCCTCCAATTTGATGTCAAGTGTCCAACCATATCCGCCATTAAAACAAACCCAAGCTTTGCTGTAAACTCAGTCTTGGATCCATGAAAAACTAGACAGATGCTTCATGTTTTCTCCTTTTCTCTTCAGTACTTTTGGAGGTGACACCCAGCTTGATTCAGACAGCTACAGTTTGTTTTAGAAAAAAAGAACAACTTCTAATCTTTGTACTTCTTCCCGCTRGAGGTATAACTCGAACCACTTTCCAACATATACACTATTTATACTCTTCTTCACTTACGTCGTGTCTCAATCGGTTGGTATAAAGAACCCATCAAGAGTTTGACCCCAATTACATTGGTAAAAAAGATCAGAGAAAACGTATTTTGATTGAACATAATGGATTTGGTCCAAAAAGAATAAATAACTTGTAGATCACCCCCAGCCAATGTGAGAAAAAAGAAAGGGCACGTGATTGAGAGCCAGCTTGCTTTTAAAATGAAAACAAATCACCTGTGAGAGTGTGATGTTTTATACCATTCTCATTGATAATATTAAAAAAGAAAGAAAGAAAGAAAGAAAGAAAGCTTGCCTACAGAGAAAGATTTGGTTTGGAGGTGGGGATGGGCAGGAAAAATAAAGAAAAAGAAAAAAGGGCATTAATTTTGCTGGGACAGCACATGCCAGAGATCCTCATCATAAAAGGAACATCATGTGCTCTCCCGCATGTTATTTCATCAAACTTTTCAAATTGCAACGTTTGCTGTTCTTGCTATCTTTCTGTATGTGGGCCCCCACTGCCACCACATTGTCTTCCACCCTGTTTATGCATGTTGTGTACCTATCAGAATCAGATGATGATGCATTCTTCAAAATCTTTTGTCCATTTCCTCACATATTTACAGTGGAAACTCTCAAACTTTTGATCCATTTAATGCACTGTTTAAGGCAGATAAGAAGTAGAAAAAAGGATGCTGCAAAATTGTCAAAGAAGCACATAACTCAAATTACTTCTTTTTCCTTTTTGATTCCTTCTTTTTTTTTTCCGGGGTGGGGGTTAAAAGAGAGTTAAACTACTAATTTCACCTATCCCAGATACAGATTCACAACCAGATTCATCCAACCCTCCTAAATCAAAGATTGAGCAGTTTCTCATATAAATCTTTTTCCAGGCCCGTTTGGAGAACTTACTGTTGCCCCTCCTATGCACCACCATTCATGGAAGTATTGATGTGAACTGCAGTTCCCTCTTCAACAATCTTGCCATTGACTTGAGTTCTTAATCTCTGGAGTTGAACAGTGGACCGAGTAATTTTCAGGAAAAGGAAACCGGTATTTATACATCATGAACAGAATATGAATGGTTGATGATACGTACCCTATCTGCAGGGTCCCCGGAGTTCCCATTGATGAGCTTATGATTCTCATCTTTTGTCTTGGTGTCTCTGTCTTTTGTGCTCAATGGTAATAATGTAGATGCAGCGACACTGGTTCGGTCGGGCAATTCTGAAATCGATAAAATTTGTATTCAGTAAAGGTAGTCGTCAACGGACCATGAAATTGAACAAAGGGCAATAAGAAAGTAGAAGTAACCTGGTAACTTCTTATCAACAAAGAATACAACCAGGTTCACTGTATACCTGCAGAAAGATGGAACGTTTAAAACAATGAAAAATTAAAAAGCCCAATACATGATTCTTAACATACAACAAAGCGAATGGCCATTTTTTATACCATGCTACTACAACGTCAACAGTGTAATGTTTGCGCGAGGCTACAATCAAGAAGCTCTGTACTATAGCGAGTAACCAGGCCAACTGCTTTATGAACCTAAAATGTTGCAAAAATAAAACATTAGCTAGTATTTAAAATTTTAATACGTCCGCAGCTCATTAAGGTATAGAATTGGCCTTTCATTTTTTCTTTTTTTGTTTATATTGTAGTAATTTTTAAGAAGGGGTCACATAATACCTTTGAGTACCATATATCTGATACGAGCGCACAAAAACAAGAGTAAAGATCATGTGCGATGAGAAAATTAAGTCTCCACAACCAAACAATACACCCCTTGGAACTGCAAATGCAACAACTGTATGAGGAATAATGGCAATAATAATAATATCTCAAATGACTTTAAACGTTCATGATTATTCCTTACGATTGATTATGAAAACTTCGAGTATGCTTTTCGGGGGAGGCAACGTGGCAAGTTTTGAACCCTGCACAAAAGTGGTGAAGACATCACTGACATTTTCCTTTTCTAATTGCCATTTTGAAATAATTACAAAATAAAAGCCTTGCATTGATCAAYCAAGTTTACTCATGAACAAAAGTTAATCTGCACCTATCCTTCAGGCACACCGAGAAATATTCAGATCTACATTAGAAATTATACCTCACGGCAATGGTAGTTCGGACCAGGAAGTTGGGTTGAATAGAATGTTACAATACGAAGGATTTGAGAAGCCTGAAAAAACAAATAAGAAGGCCATACAATATAAATGTTTGCTTTTAACCAAAGTTGTGAAGGAACTGGGATGTAACATCAACTACAAAGTTCTTAAAAATAGTTTCTTTCAAGAAACCAATTTTAGCAAGAGGAAAGGGGAGATGATAAAGGCAAGACTCAAACACGTAACACAGAAGACATTCCACAAGACTCCAAAATGTTAACTAAGAAACAAAAGTTGTACTTACAACTAAAAACGCTAGAACCCTGCACCATAGCAGAACTGTGTAGATCWTTTTAGTTTTGAGAATGAAAGGATGGAAGGTCCACTGCAACAGAAAAATCAAATCATTAGAACCACTAAAAACAATCCATGTGTGTCATGCTACAATTCCTTGAGAAAACAAATCGATATGCCATAAAGAGATAAATGATATGAGAAAACAAAACCTGCATTGATCTGGATGAAAGAAAGTAATAACAAAATCATGATCAAGTTTTTTTTTTCCCTCTTTTTCTATGAGATACAATTTCATGGATATTAAACTGTAAAGGGCATCTTGTTTATATGCCACTCAAATTTCTAGTCAAATTTCAGGCATCAACCAAGAGAGACGCTTTGCTCATATGACAATTGTGTCACCTCCTTACAACAAGAATGTCAAATAATTCAAGCCCTAGAAATCAGCACGGGATATTCTTCTTCAGTTCAGTATGCGCTGTCTACTCATGAAGTCTTGATCAAAATGAGAAAGACAATGGATCATTACCATAGTTTAAGTGATGTTGAATGTAGAAAGGCAGATCAAATAGAGGATAAAACCAAAGCCTTGCTAAAAAGTTTTCAATACAAAAGGTGCATATTAACATGCTAGCAGGAATTCATGTTTTATGTGACCAAGAAACCAGTAATATAAAAAGATTGGAGAAAATAAACTAGCGAAAGGTGGAATGGAACCTCACCAAGACAAATGATATAAAGATGAAAGAAAACAAAGTTTCACTGATGTAAGCTTTGTCAGGTCCGAGCTCCTATATTCAAACACACTCAAAATGAACATCTAAGTTGAAGATAATGTAATATAAACCAAAGGATGCAACGTTTTGATACTAACCGGAAGAAGAAAGAAACCAACGTCCTGAAGTACTGGTCCAGGCCTATGTATATAATGAACTCCTCTAGCAGCTAAACCATGTATGTACTGTCCATAAGAAGTATTTTGCATGTCAGGCTTGGAGGGCATTGACAAAATGACAGACTAAAGAAAAAATAAACAACAAAAGCTTATTCAACTCTTTGACATAAACATCCGAAAGAAATATTACTTCCCTCTTCAATTTATAAGCATATTTAAGTTTCTACAAGTTCCAACACCTTTTCAAATCCAAATTTCAAATACAGTTCAATCTATCCTTAAAATGAACACTGTTTCTACAGAWAATTGGATAGGCAGTGTGGTGAAGAAAACAAAAGCCATCCCTGAGCATGAAGTTGGGGAAGCCTCTACATGACAACATTTAAATTTGCAGACAAGTTCCCATAAAAATTCTCATCATCAAAGAATACCTGACAAATGAGCCCCCCAAGAAGGTATTTCCAATTCTCTACGAGAAGGATGATCTCCGTGGAGGTCTCTGCACAGACTCTTTTCCATAGCTTCTCTCCCACAACAAACACAACAAACACATTAAACAAGAGCAACAGTACATGAAAAATTAAACGACGTCATAAACAATCGTCGTCCAGCACAATAAGAAAACCAACCTTTGAAGATTCCCGGCCAATGTAAAGATTCATTTTCTCTTCGTGGAACAGCCAATTCCATATTACTCCAGAATCAACCTCGTAAACCCAACATCGATCATCGCGAAAACAAATAAAATTAAGAGAGGAAAAAAAAAACCCCTCGACGGAAATCGCCTCTGAAATCTTAAACCACGGCAGAAATGTTTAATTTCCCTCCAAAAAAAGAAGGAACAACCAGAGCCTCCAACAACCAAAATAGAAGCAATCGGGAGGAATCAGAAACTTAATCGATTCGTTTCAATACTTGGGTTGGAATAATAGACTGAAAATCAAATTCGAAAAGGAGGAAACGAGATCTGTTGAGTAAAAGATAAAAGAAAAAAAAAATCAGAGATTACGTTGAAGAAGAGAAGCCAGCGAAGGCGAAGTATTTGAATAAGAAAGGCGACAACGCGTTATTTGAAAAATCAAAATTTTGAAATAAGAGTAAAAATTAAACAATTAAAAATAAATAAATAAGCCTCTGGTTCCTTCGCTAACAAGAGGTGACGGCTACCGGCCACGCGAGTTCAACACGGGATTCGGAGTCTCCCATAAAATAAAGAAAATTCAATTTTGATTTAAATTACGGGTTCTCTAATTTATGAGATTATATTTTAATTTTATACTTAAAAATTTTTTTTTGATACCATGAGTATTTGGGCTAGTTGACTCATCTCGACTATTTTTACAAKGAGGAGACTTATATAATACGGATACCTAATTCGACTAACAAATTTTTTTAGTTTACAATACGAAAAAGTAGAGATTTGAACTTCTAATCTTTTAGTTAATAATATATATTGAGTTAGCAAAGTAACACATATATTTAAACTCGTATCATCAATCCATTACACACATAGTTAATTGGTAATTAACATGTCCTCATTTATTCGAGGTCGGAAGCTCGAATATTTTATATCCCCAAATTGATTATTGTAATATATATATATATATATATATATATACATACATACTATTAACTTTTGCAAATACTAAAAAGATTTCTTAAAATCGTCACGTACCTATTCAACAAAGAATGAGAATTCTTCAAGAACTCTCATTGTTTGAAGAGTTTATAATGATGGAAAAGTACGGCAATAATACGAGTTTGCTTGGGTTTCTACAATTTGGGAAAAGTACGGCAAAAAGAACTCTCAGTTTATTGCTCGAGGTTGAGCAAATATTTTATATTTTCATATTCATTGTTCTATTGGTATATAAAAATACATTGTATATATTCATTGTATTTGTTTTGGCCTAGGTTTTAGTATTTCTAGTTACAATTATATTTGATTTATTAATGTTTATTCTATGTTCTTTTCAGATTTTTTTTATAACACTTTCGATAATGGTTTTATTGTTTAAATTTTATTTTAGATTTTGATTTAACGAAAAATTTTCTATTTTGTAGTATGATTCTCATCCTATAAAGAAAAATGGTAAATTGTACGAATCACCCTGAAATATTTTAGTTATTATAATCACACTTTTTAAATTTTCTACTGTAAAAATTGAACCCTCAAACTTTCACAGRCGAAAAAATTAGACCATTCAACCTTTACTACAACCTCTCAAGCTTTCTTACTTTCAAAATTACACCTKAACTTTAAAAAATTATACTCCTCGTGACCCCCTCCCTCCCATCGTTATTACGAAAAATTGTATGGAGGATATGTGGGAAGATTAGCCGCAATTGAGAGAAATATGCTAACGAAGAGGATGATGTAACGTATTCATGGATGCCGCTACCATGGATCCTTCGTCATTGCGATTCACGACGACTTGGGTCATCAATGTTGTGGAAGTTTTGTTCTCCGGATGAGCGAACTTGCCTTCATCGAAAATATGACAAAGTGAGAGAGGGGGTTGAGATACTCATAAATGAATTGAATTTACTTAATCCATCAATATAAATATAAATATTTGGTAATTATTCGTATTTTTAAATTTTAACAAATGCCCCTATTGTTTGGGTACATATTTTAAAAACAATAAAATCTTATCATCACATATTGGTTAAGAAGAGTCCAGGTAAATTCTCAATAATTTAGAGGGAAAAATCTACCAGTAGAATTAGACAGTTATGGCGTAATTTTTTTTTCATTCAGTTTCCAACAACAAGCAATTTAATTTTTCCCATATATTTTTTGATTTCTCTAACTCGTAACTCATTATAGATAGTAATGACAAAAATTGAATGGAGAAGGTACGGATCAACAAAAAGTCAAGCCAACCCAAACATACTAGGCACCTATGTTTAAAAGCTCATAAGTTTGAATTAGGGGTGTTCATTAATTAGACTGATTGGGTTGAGATACTTTTTAGACCAAACTAGATTGTTCGAGTTCTAAACTTTTTCAACCCAAATAATTCTTATTAAATAATAAACTCAATACAACCTAACCACGAACAGATTGGTTCGGRTTATTCGAATCATTTATTCAAAGTATTATATAATAAAAAATGATTATATTTTAAATATGTATTTTTATATATTTGTCTAACATTGCATCAAAATTCATAGATCGATTTTATTTATCTTTTAAAATTTGTTTTTAAAAACTATGGTAGAATAAACAATCCATAAAAAGTAATTGAATGAAATAAAATTAAAATTAAATACAATTTTTATGGTGAGAGGTAGTTTTAAAATTCGTTCAATCCAAATATATTTTAGGTGAAATCTTAAACTAATTCAATCCATAAAATTTTCGAACCCACCCAACCCAAACGTAAAAAGTCTATACCAAACCAAACCGTATCATTTGGGTTGGATTGATCAATTTTTTTTCAGATGATCGGATTTTTTCGAACACCTCTATTTTGAAATTTGAATCTCCCATATGTTGTCGAAAAGGATACCATTTCCACGTGACACACGTGAGGTAAATATTTTAATTACAAAAATGAATAAAGAAGGAAGAAATAGTGCGACTTCCGTGTCTCTGGTTCACATGCCGCCCTGTCTCTGAAGCGCATAAATAATCCCCAAATTCCATCTCCTCCTTCACTAATTCGTCCTCCGCCTCCGCCAATTTCAAGATCCAGACGCCTCCGCCGATGGCGCAACCGCAAACGCAAGCTCGGGTTCTGGTGTTTCCTTATCCGACGGTGGGGCACATAAAGCCGTTCTTATCTCTGGCAGAGCTGCTCGCCGACGGCGGCCTGGACGTGGTCTTCCTCAGCACAGAGTACAACCACCGCCGGATCCCCAATCTGGAAGCCCTAGCCTCCCGCTTCCCCACGCTTCATTTCGACACCATTCCCGACGGCCTCCCCATCGACAAGCCGCGCGTCATAATCGGCGGCGAACTGTACACCTCCATGCGCGACGGAGTCAAACAGCGGCTCCGGCAAGTGCTTCAGTCTTACAACGACGGTTCTTCCCCGATCACGTGCGTCATCTGTGACGTGATGTTGTCTGGTCCGATTGAAGCGGCKGAGGAATTAGGGATTCCGGTGGTCACCTTCTGTCCGTACAGTGCTCGATACTTGTGCGCTCACTTTGTAATGCCGAAGCTGATTGAAGAAGGCCAAATTCCGTTCACTGGTCAGTACTTCTAATTGGGCTCTTCTCAATCTGTGAAGCCCAATAACCAATTTTCTCTTTTATTACATTTTTTAATAATACTTGAGTCGTCAGATTCCATCACTTCAAAATTTGCCACCTGTTTMCTTTCTTTTTAAAACATCTCCATTTTGTTTCGGTACTGAATTTATTAGGCACTGAATTGGGCTCCTCACTTGTCAGATTAATTGTTACAAATATGAAAGTAAATAGAGACTAAATTGTGGTACTGAAATTGAGTTTACATTTTGGTTTAGATGGAAATCTTGCCGGAGAGATTCAGGGGGTGCCTTTGTTTGGAGGTCTTCTTCGACGAGATCATTTACCTGGTTTCTGGTTTGTGAAATCACTTTCGGATGAAGTTTGGTCGCATGCCTTCCTTAATCAGACCCTTGCAGTTGGTCGAACCTCTGCTCTCATAATCAACACATTGGACGAACTCGAAGCTCCATTTTTGGCCCATCTCTCCTCCACTTTCGACAAAATCTACCCCATTGGACCYCTCGACGCTCTCTCCAAGTCAAGGCTCGGCGATTCCTCCTCCTCCTCCACGGTCCTCACCGCATTCTGGAAAGAGGACCAAGCCTGCATGTCCTGGCTCGACTCTCAGCCCCCCAAATCCGTGATCTTCGTCAGTTTCGGGAGTACCATGAGGATGACAGCTGATAAATTGGTGGAGTTCTGGCACGGGCTGGTGAATAGCGGCACACGCTTCCTGTGCGTGTTGAGATCAGACATCGTTGAAGGCGGAGGAGCGGCGGATTTGATCAAACAAGTGGGAGAAACAGGGAATGGGATTGTGGTGGAGTGGGCAGCGCAAGAGAAGGTGTTGGCGCACCGTGCGGTGGGTGGGTTTTTGACGCACTGCGGTTGGAACTCCACCATGGAGAGCATTGCGGCGGGAGTACCCATGATGTGCTGGCAGATTTATGGCGACCAAATGATCAATGCTACTTGGATCGGAAAAGTGTGGAAAATTGGGATCGAAAGGGATGATAAATGGGACAGGTCAACGGTAGAGAAGATGATCAAAGAATTGATGGAAGGGGAAAAGGGAGCGGAAATCCAACGATCCATGGAGAAGTTTTCAAAATTGGCAAACGATAAGGTTGTCAAAGGTGGGACGTCTTTTGAAAACTTGGAACTTATCGTGGAATACCTCAAAAAGTTGAAACCATCCAATTGAATGTAGAAGAAGTGGTTGAGTTGGGTTTGATTGAAGTTGATCTTTTTGTGGTATGAATCGTAAAATTCTAATAAAAATCTAAATATTGTATGATTTCATTCCATCATGGAAATAATTATTTTTCGTTATAATAAATTATTATTATTAGGTTAAATGATGAGAGGATATCCTCACAGTTTGACTGACAATTTTATATTATTATATTTATTTGAGAATTTACAAGGWTATTTTGAATATACATCCAATATTAGGGTAATTTTTTTTGAAGTTGCGATACTTCCCTTCTAGTCCCTGCTCGGAGATATACTTGAGATACTACACCTGATTGAGACTAAATTGAAACTTCGTAAGATYAAATTTAAAATTTGTACAAAATATAAGGATCAAATTTGTAATTTAACCTTAAAGATATTAAAATTACAATGGGTGAGAATTTAACCTTCTTCATATCTAAAGAGAGAATATTTACGACGGGRATTCGAACTCAAAATCTTTTAATCAGAAATAAATATCTAGACTATGTTTAGATTGACTTACTAATGGTCTAATCAAGTATTAATGTCACACGTCAACATTACAAATATTATAATATTACTTTTAAATATTATGACATCTTCCCATCTCACTTCCCACCAAAACAAAAAAAAAGGAAAATTTTGATGGAGACTTTTTGAAACATTCTTCTTTCTTTGAAATATAAAAACCAAAGATAACTATTATTATAATAAATGCTAATTTTTATTTGTTATAGTTGCTAAAATAATTGCTATCATGCTTTATTAAAAAAAAATGGTGGAAGTAAATTAATATTTGATCAACTTTAATTTTAATTATAAACAAATAGAATGTTTGATAAATTAATATTTAATTGTTACAATTCAGTAGTTTGGATGAAAATAAGAATAATTTTCAAAATTTGATGAGGTAATTGATGCTGTGGATTTAGATTAATGGCCTCAATGGCCAAGAATGAGCAGAAAATCCGTCAAGGGAAGGGAACACTCCCAACTTAAAAGACAAACAAACTTGTATATTATAATCTCACACCAATAACCATGTAAATTTTTATATAATTTAAATTACAACCTATATTTTGTTTACTCTAAATTATTTGACAGAGAGGCTCAGAAAAACAATTGTTATGAACAAAAATTCCATTGAATAAAATGTTAGTCCAAATTAAATACAAAAAATGTAAGGAAAAATAGATTGTTGATGTCAATGTCTAAATTTTATAGAAATATCGACTACAAATATTTACGAAAAAATTATAAAAATTAAGAAACTGATAAAAATATTTAAATTAATACATAAATATTTTACTATTATTTAAATAAGTCAAAATTTAAGTTATACTTTATTTATATTTCTATACATTTGGTTTATCTTTTAGATTCATCGTCCTTGATGTAAAGGATTGAACGTGAATCACGATTTTCGTTTATTATTGTTTCGGTATTTTCGAGGGAAAAAAAACTGCTGAGGCATTCCACGTGAGTAATCTTCTGTTTCTTAATAAATATTAAGGTGGTAAATATTGGAATTCACCAACTCCTGGTCGAACATAAAAATTTTGAACAGTTGAATTATGTTCAATTTGGTGAGGTAAGACTGTTAAATTTTAAGTTTTGTGTCTAATAGATCAACAATCTATTCCAAAATTTTAAAAAATTAAAAATGCATTAAATCCAAAATCGAGTTTTATGTTTAACAAAATCATGACTTTTCAATTTTGTAACTAACAGACGGGTAAGTTTTATAAAATGTTTAATAAGTAAGAGAGTTATTTGGACACAAAATCTTAAATTTAAGGATTAATTTACATTTTGTGGATGAACTTATTAAACACAAAATTGAAAATTAATACTTTAAAAGGAACATTAAATTAGAAGGTAAATTTATTAATTTATATTTTATTTATAACCTTTTTTAAATTTAGTAATTTATTAGACACAGCCTTAAAAGTTGATTTGTTATTTAATTATATATATATATATATATATATATATATATATATATTTTGGATCGTTAAAATTGAATACTACTCCACTATGTCTGCTACTATAAGGTGTCGTTATGTGTGGATATGTTTGGAGTTATTGTGTGTGTGTGTATATGCCAAAGTGAGCTATATATAACAATCTTAAAATTAAATACTATTCTACTATATCTGCTACTATATGGTGCGTTATGTGAGTTATTGTGTGTGTATATTTGTCAAAGTTAGCATGAGCATAGTTCAGCGGCGATTAACATATATCTCCAACTAAGAGGTTCTGAGTTCAATGGTCATCTCACATGTTCTGTATATATATAGTTTTACAACCATGTAGTTAATTAATACACTAGAATTTTGACGATCTCACAAATCACACCAATAATTATTTAAGACTTTATATAATTTAAATTATAAATGATATTTTATTTTCTCTTAATTATTTGATAAAAGACCATGAAAATTTTGTTATCAAGCAATTTTATTAAATCAATAATGCAAGAAAAAAATAAATTTGTTGGTTTTAATTAAGTTAACATACTGATTGAATTTGAAGTAAAAAAAAAAAAAACATACTGATTGAAGTTTGATGATACGGCAATTTTGCTTTTTGGATTGTTGAAATAACTGTCTATTTTCTGTCTTTTTCTCATCTTTTTTTTTTCTTTGATAGGTCTCGCTACCATCTTTCTGTTATTGCTAGCTTAATTATATCTCACAATTTTTTTTTTTTTATATACGTGAGTTTTCAAATTAGCTCACACATCTTGACTAATTTCACAATGCAACCGCTTAACCCTACAGTGTATTTGATATCGAGAAACACATAGAAATTAAATCTTAAGAATAGATGGTCATCATGAGTTTAAACTCATTCCAGATGGGACCCTTCTTGCATTTTGTTAGGTCAATAAACAATCAAATGAGTCAACAACTGAGAGAGTACGGTTTGTTAAAAAGACGAATCCATGTTTGTTCTACAGTTTTATAACTCATGTTTACTACAGTAAATACTATTCTACCCTCACGTTGCTACAGTAAATAATATTCTACCTCTAGTTTGTTAGAATACTTTATCACTACTCTCAAATTACTGCAGTATTTTATCATTACTCTTTTGGATTACTTTGCATATTTTATCATAAATGCGTTAACTTTTTAATAAAATATATTAGTTAAATAAGAAAAGTAGTTAATTTTAATTTTAATAATAAATAAGTAAATGAATTTAATTCAAATCGCAAGTTATAAATTGTTAATTCAAAAAATAAATTATTCGTACTTGAAATATTAGTTACTAAATAAATATTATTATATTTTTAATCACATATATATAATTAAACTAAACTATTTTATTTTAAATTTAAAACTCAACACACTTCATACATATAATTAAACTAAACTATTTTATTTTAAATTTAAAACTCAACACACTTCCTACAATTTAACAAGTTCATTTCTCTAAATCCATAATTTTATCCCTTTTTACTGTTGCAATGTATGGGGTTGCTTTCGTCAACGGCGACGAAATACGAAAAGCGAGGGAGTCATTCTTCAAGCTCTGTCTCTGATTCGTAGAGCAGAAGCTGAAATTTGGTAATCTCCAAATCCACAAACTTCCGGCGGCCGTCGATGGCACAACCTCGGGTACTGCTGTTTCCTTTCCCGGCAATGGGCCACGTGAAGCCGTTCCTGTCTCTGGCGGAGCTGCTCTCCGACGCCGGCGTGGAGGTGGTGTTCCTGAGCACCGAGTACAACCACCGCCGGATCCCCGACATCGGAGCCCTAGCCGCCCGCTTCCCCACGCTTCACTTCGAAACTATTCCCGACGGCCTGCCGCCCGATCAGCCGCGCGTTCTCGCCGACGGTCATCTCTATTTCTCCATGCTCGACGGAACCAAGCCGCGATTCCGGCAACTGATTCAGTCTTTGAACGGAAACCCTCGCCCCATCACCTGCATCATCAATGATGTGATGCTTTCTTCTCCGATTGAAGTTGCGGAAGAATTTGGGATTCCCGTAATTGCATTTTGCCCCTGCAGTGCTCGCTTCTTATCGGTTCATTTTTTTATGCCCAACTTCATTGAAGAAGCCCAAATTCCTTACACAGGTCGGATTCTTATTCTTAGAAGAAAACAAAAATCAGGAATCAAAATCGAACCAGATTTTATTCTGTTTGGACAGTGAAATTAAGTTTAGTAATCTGTTAAACACGTTTTTGTTCAGATGAGAATCCGATGGGGAAGATTGAAGAGGCGACTGTATTCGAAGGGCTGTTGCGGCGGAAGGATTTGCCTGGTTTATGGTGTGCAAAATCTTCAAACATATCTTTCTCGCATCGCTTCATTAACCAGACCATTGCAGCCGGACGAGCCTCTGCTCTCATACTCAACACCTTTGACGAGCTTGAATCTCCATTTCTCAACCACCTCTCCTCCATTTTCCCCAAAATCTACTGCATTGGGCCCCTCAATGCGCTGTCCAGATCCAGGCTCGGCAAGTCCTCCTCCTCCTCCTCGGCCCTCGCCGGGTTCTGGAAAGAGGACCAAGCCTACATGTCCTGGCTCGAATCTCAGCCGCCTAGATCCGTGATCTTTGTCAGCTTCGGAAGTACCATGAAGATGGAAGCCTGGAAATTGGCAGAGTTCTGGTACGGGCTGGTCAACAGCGGTAGCCCCTTCCTGTTCGTGTTCAGGCCCGACTGTGTCATCAACAGCGGAGACGCAGCGGAGGTGATGGAGGGGAGAGGGAGAGGCATGGTGGTGGAGTGGGCTTCCCAAGAGAAGGTTCTGGCCCACCCGGCGGTGGGGGGATTTTTGACGCACTGTGGGTGGAACTCGACGGTGGAGAGCATTGTGGCCGGAGTTCCGATGATGTGCTGCCCCATTGTCGCCGACCAACTCAGTAACGCTACTTGGATTCACAAAGTGTGGAAAATTGGGATCGAAGGGGACGAGAAGTGGGATAGATCGACGGTGGAGATGATGATCAAAGAATTGATGGAAAGTCAAAAGGGAACAGAGATTCGAACATCGATAGAGATGCTTTCGAAGTTGGCAAATGAAAAGGTTGTGAAAGGTGGCACGTCTTTGAATAACTTTGAACTTCTAGTTGAAGACATCAAAACGTTGAGAAGACCATATACTTAAATTTAAAAACAACCATGAGTTTTTCTCTCTAAGTGTTGTTTTCCATTTGATGAATTTGTAATATGAGTGGAATTAGTGTCATCTTTTAGATTGTGTTTATGTAATGTCTTTAATTTAAAAATTTCGAATCGAATTTTAACTTCTAATTTTGTATCTAATAAATTTACATGTCTGAGTGCAACCCTAAGTCTTATACAGACTAGACATGAGAAAAACCATGATATAGGATACAACTATTTTATTAGGTAAAGTCTTTTGAGATTTGAGCAACAAAGTAATTAGAATTTATGCACATAATAGACAATATATATTTTTTCAAAATAAAAAGTGGACGATATCGTATTACCAACACTCATCTACCCTTTATTGTTTGTATTATTATATTGTAATTTACTTATTAATGATTAATGTAAAACAATAATATCAATATTTATATGCTCTAGACTCAACTCAACTCACCTATCTCCATCTAAATAATTAAGAGTTGGAATCTATATTGTTATTTTACTAAATAAATTTGCAAACGCTGGACGCATTAACATTATATAAAGAGCACGACTAGGCAAACAATTAAAAATATATTTTTTCACATTGTTTACGTTTAGTAAAAAAAATATGTGCAGCTGTAGAGTCATCTGTATAATGGGGATCCAATCAAACTGCTGATTTTAAAAATGACAAAACCGACTTTTCGAAAATCAATTAAATGAAAACAATTATTTCAATATAACAATTAACAACCACGTGTGTAGAGAGAGAATCGGGATCCAATCAATTATGTGCGTAAAGTTAAAAGATTGAATACAAAACTTCCAACTCAAAAGTTTGCTTTTTCAAAGATCAATTAAATAAAAATTAAAAAAAAAAAAGATTGTTTAATGTAGCTACCATAATTTTACTAGTTCATAAATTTTTCAAATTACAACTAATAAATTTTAAATAATTCTCTAAACTCTAATATTTTGTCTATCAACTTTAAAAAGCATAATAAATATTTTAACTTTCAAAGTTGTCAATAAAATATTTAGTGACTCCATGTGTGACTGTTTAGATCGGTCTAAAACAAACCTACTAGATAATTCTTAAATAATTGAATCATCATAACTTTTGGTTTCACCCAAAAGTCCTTATACAGGTAGAGATAAATATCCTCTCTTATATACTAACATCATTTTTTCCCTTAGTCAATGTGAGACTTTATTTGCATTCTTCCTACCGATCCAACCTAATAAATTTACCTAACATAATAATATTTAGTGAATTTGTAGAAATTAAAAAGTTTGGACGGAGGAATTACAAAAGTTCCTCATAGATCTCCCATAACTCTTTGCCATTTCACTCATTATTGTGGTTTATTATCGACCAATTTGAATATTTACTAAATTAAATTGAAAAATGTTAAAATAATCACATACTAAATTAAAACTTTTAAAATAATAGGAACTAAAAAAAATATTCAAATAATAATTTTTAAAAGCCATATTTAACCTTTTAATTGTAACTATGTTCCTCAACATTTAGATTTAAAAATATGGGTCGTAAACCTTGAGATTGTGTTCATTTATTCCATGCTTTTAAGAAGTGTTCTTTATTTGTTACTGAATTTTAAATGTTGTATATAATGAATTCCAATGGTTAATTCAATTTAACTTACCACGTAATTCTTAGATAATACAATTAAGTTAAGAGATAATATTTCGACGGGTCATTTTGGAAACTTATTTTTACAAATGTCTGATGTTTACATATTTTTCAATTTTAGATTTATGGATTTTAAACTTTTCCATAATACCAAGTTTGCTTTCATTTATTGCATTTATATTTAATATAAATTGTTTTTATTTGAAGGTAAAATATTTAATGTTCCAAATTTGATTTGTAAAATTCTACATGGGTTTCATTCCATACCGGCCCATTTTAAAACAAAAGTGTAAAATCTTAAACATGAATCTATTTATGTAAATTGAATTTTCATATAGACTAGTAGTATACTTATCCTTAAGTTTACTATAGCTACTTGTTAAACACAAAATTAAGAGTTTCGGTATCATTGGGCCCATTCATTCTCTCTTGAACAAGTCGGCCCACTATGGCCAAGATTATGACCCTTGTTGTTTGGCCTAGCTCGACTCTCACCTGCCCCAATCCGTCATCTTTGTTAGTTTCGGGAGCGTGGTGAAGGCCACAAGTTATCAGTTAATGGAGCTTTGGCACGGACTGATGAACTGCGGGAAGTCCTTCCTGTTTGTGTTGAGATCGGATGCAGTTGAAGGGGAGGATGAGAAAGAAGTTTTCAAGGGAAGATGGATGGTTGTGGAGTAGGCTCCTCAAGGACAAGTCTTGGCCCACCAAGCCATTGCTGGGTTTCTGACCCATTCCTGCTGGGGTTCCTATGATCTCTGGCCCCAAAATTGGGGCCCAGCCTAGTAACTGGGCCTGGGTCAGTCAAGTCTGGAAAATTGGGCTCGATATGGTGGCTCGGTGTGATTACTCCATGGTCGAGGCGATGGTTAGGTCATTGATGGAACAACAAGGGAAGAAAATGCATAAGATGACTTTGGATCGGGCTAAACGAGCTAAGTTCGCAAGTCGTATAAAGATGGGACGTCGTATCGAAATTTAAAATTTTAATTGAGGATGTTAGAAAGATTAAGCCAAATTAACGGTTTTCGACTATGGATGAATAAGTATTTAATTTTTAATTAATGATGTTTTTGCTTTTTGGATTTGAATTTTGTTATTAGGCGAGGACTATAATTTGACCATTTGAGTTAATCAATCTGCCTTGTTGATGTTGTTTGATTATTTGCCAAAGTTGTTGTTTTAAAGTTCCCTCTCTTTTTCCTAATAGGATCATCTAATTTAGTATAATAATTAATAATTATAACTCATTTGCATTTTACAATTCTATTTGAAATTTAAAAAATTATAAATAAAAAAATAAAGTTTATAACTTAAGTTGATACTAGCCATGATGTCGCGTAGGATATTAAAATAAAAACTAAATAAATAAATAAACTTAGGTTAATGTTACAAATACTTCCAAAATGATGTTTCAAGCACTTTTCCAATAATTACTTTAAAACTTTTATTATTTATTTGAGATCCATAATTTTCTTTATTAATTATTTACAATTTTACTCTTGCTTAATATATTTATGCTATTAATAATTTTTCTTACCATAAAAGTATATCACCTTTCTTAAAAAAACAATAAAAAGTATATCAACTTTCTTAAATATATATATATATATATATATATAAACTCTTATGAGATGATGTGACTATTTAATTTTACTTCATTATTTATTTATTAATATCAATAAAATTGTTAAAAGAATTATAGGAGAGATAAATGTAAAAAAAAAAAACTTTATCGTTTTAAAAGAAATGAAGAACTTTTTTTCATTCGACATCTATGCATGTTCAATTATGCTCAAATTGGATCAATGTCTATAATCTTTAGCAAGAGTATGCCAAAATCTTCATGACGGCTCTTGAATGTTTAATTCATATTGCAACTCAAAATTTGACATTGTTTTCTTTTTTTAATACATGTTGAAGTCGAATAACTTTTAAGGGTGGTTTGTGCATTTTGTAGTATGTCACATATTGGTTTTTATTAATTTCAAAGATAAGTGATCAAATAAAATAAAAATAAAAAATCGAAGCAAGAATAGCGTAGTAGTTATGGGCATTTATCCCTGATCAAGAGGTCGTAAGTTCGAAGCCTCACTCCTACATGTTATACTAAAATAATATATATATATATATATATATATATATATATATATATATATATATATATATAAAATTCAAGATTCCTAAGAAGATTAATATTACCTTAACAAGTTTTTTTCTCCTTTTGTTTTATGAATATTACCTTATCCTCTGATCTTCTTATTTACTAGAAAAACATAGGTTTGTTAATGATATATATTAACGAATTGATCATTTATATATACAGAATGATATATACTCCATCCACACAAGGATATTTCCTTTGATTAAGAAATGTACTTCATTAAATGAGAATTTTTAAATAGGCTGGAGAAGGTGATAAAAGTTTGATTGAAATAGGAAAAAAAGGGACATTTTCGATTTTTGTTTTTTTTAATAAATGGAAAATATATATGTAAACCAAACCTTTGGTCAATGAAGGCGTTTTGAGTAGGCCTCGTTCAAATTGGGCCCTCTGTTCTAAATCTGGGCTTATTCAACAACAAATATAAAGCCCAGTCCCCATTTTCCGATTCTAAACATTTGATGTGGGCCCTCTGATCTCCTTCTAATTTGTGTTTCGTTTCTATTTGATTCTTGGAATTATAATAAATTTTCAACTTAATATTTTCGGTCATTACTATATATCAACAATTTCCCTTTTTTTATATATTTTATGATATACTAATATCAGCATAGTTTAGTATTTTTCTCTCTCTGAAAAGTTATAAGTTCGAATTTTCATGTGTATTTTTTTCAACTATGGTATAGAGAGGTCATAGATTGACATCCAAAGAAGATTAAAACTTTTTACCATTAAAAAATCGTGAAGGGAAATATCATCTCAAGAACTTTTTGTCAAAACAAACAAACTCAGTGGTTATTGGTATATATCTCCAATCAATATGTGTGAGTTTGATCCCCACCCTACATGTTGCACTAAAAAATCTCAAAATTTTTTTTTCCTTTTAGAAAATCACATCAAACGTGTAAAGGAGATAGATATATTAAATCACATCATCTGAAACCCTTTTACATTCTTAAAACCCGGGGAAGCCATAAGTTAATAGCCTAAACAAATCCAATTTTGTCCCTAATGAAAAAAAAATTCTCAACATTTCTTTTTTCCCGACGAAGGAAAAAACCCAAAATTATGTATACCATGATGTGTGGGTTGGAACTTGAAATTTTTACCGCCATTTAAAGAGAATGAAAGATGTTGGTTTTGCAAGAGGTTGTTGGGATAATGGAGCCAAACCAGGAGAAAATATTTTTTGGGAAAATGTCTTTTTGAATTTTTACTTATCCTATTCAGTTCGGTTTTTTTTTTTTTAATTTTCTCTTTCCCTTTTAGTTTTTGTCATACCATCTAATCTATTATAAATGGAGATAGATGGGTC